GACATTTTGTAGTGACTGACATAGGGAGCGAAACAACAATGAATCACCCGGTACGTTGGCCTTCACGAGTTATATATATATATATATATACTCTGATAAGGTGTGGCGAAAAGGGACATCAAAAACAATAGAAAGTTACCTAATTCAAACTCGACAAAATCGATCAAACGGGCACATTTGGAAAATTTACCCACAGACCCCTAAACAATTACTAGAAGAATGTCATGTAATGTCATGTTCTGAATGTGAGAACCGAGATAAAAAGACGCATTAACGATCATCGAACACATTTAACTCTTTCCTAATGACCTTTTAATGACGACCTTAACTTACATGGTCCTCATTAATCTTCAACTGTCGAAATTCTTTTCGTTAAACCAAGGTCGTATTTCAAATATTGAAACAAATGTTGAATATACAAAACGCATGCAGATTTTCGATATACCGATTTTCAGATTCCCACTTGGAGTACATACAAACACTTGATGTGCGACCAAGACAAATCACGTATAGATATTCAGAACCCTTCGGACCATTTAGTACTGTATGACTGTTAAAGAACCCATAACAAATGTGAAGCACATCTGTAAAGTACAATATTTTGCTTTATGGTGAGAATACCACAAAACAGGAATACATGAATCACTCAATTAATCAGATCATATTTAATATACCTAAGATTGGCAATCATCCATTTAAATTTAAGAATTGTCCCTGAAAAGACTGGGATATAAGAAGAACTGAGTCGATACGTTTATAGGGGCGACCATCTGGCCACTGTATACCATGCACCTAGCCCGGGTACCATTGTCTGACAGGTAACCCTACTCCCCTGACCGTCAGACCGGGCCAGATAGCGATATATACACCACTGACTGACAAAACAATATCTCCTTATAAATAACTTACCTATACAGGCGTGCCCATATATCAATTCAAAACATGTTTATTGGTAGAGATGGAATAACATTGCATTATAACGTACACTTTACCATATCTTAACAAATACTCGTTTATATATACAAAAAAAATTGATAAAACGAAAGGTCTTCACTGCATAGAGAATTTAATTTACAGAATAAAGATTCGATAGAATGGCTCAGTCTTCGGCTATTGGTGTTTCAAGCGTTTTCCAATAGGAATTAAGCGCAATTTTTCTTCTGAAACGTAGTCAAATTCTTTTTAAAACATCAACAATTTGTCATTAAAAGTTTTAAATTACTATTAAAATGTGAAGGTTAAGCGGTTTAAAACTGACCAAGACTCTTACAGATTATGTGACATAACCTTTAAAACTCAGTGACGTGATATGGCTTAACACATAGGTCCCGTGAACACTTTGACGTGATATTGCTTAACACGAGACGTGTGAACACTTTGACGTGATATTACTTAACACGAGTCGTGTGAACACTTTGACGTGATATTTTGACGTGATATTGCTTAACACGAGTCGTGTGAACACTTTGACGTGATATTTTGACGTGATATTGCTTAACACGAGTCATGTGAACACATTTAACGTGATATTGTTTAACACGAGTTGTGTTAACACATTGACGTGATATTGCTTAACACGAGTCGTGTGAACACTTTGACGTGATATTGCTTAACACGAGTAGTGTGAACACTTTGACGTGATATTGATAAACACGAGTCGTGTGAACACATTGACGTGATATTACTTAACACGAGTCGTATGAACACTTTGACGTGATATTGCTTAACACGAGTCGTGTGAACACATTGACGGGATATTTCTTAACACGAGTCGTGTGAACACTTTGACGTGATATTGCTTAACACGAGTCGTGTGAACACTTTGACGTGATATTGTTTACCATACGAGTCGTGTGAATACTGACGAGATATGGTTTAACACACGCGATATGATATGTCGCGTGATGTTTACAGAATACCAAATCAGTTGAATAGTTTATCAATCTGAAAATCACGTTTTTTCATCGTGACTTTCACTGTTAATTTAACCCCAGAAAAATCATTTAAGCTGCTACGCATTGTAGAAGCCGAAAACTTTTAGCATCGCTAATAAAGAATTTAACGCCTTTAAATGTGATACAATGAAGGCTCTCTCGTCAGACCGATTATCTGTCTCTAACATCCAATAAAGGTGTGTAATTCAATGGACGATGGAAAATCATTATGTCATCGTGGGCAGATAGTGGTCATTATTATCATATTTATACCTGTCCTGATAAATGTATGTATATATTGTATAATAAACTTGTCCCTATCTTATTATTATGCATTATAATCCCCTTGTTTCCTGAATATAAAAAGTACATAAATGCTAAATTATACCTTATTAAATCTTCGTCTTATAAAACATATGTCCTGGAAAATACTATGTATCAATTATAACTGTACTGCATGATACCGTATATGTAACATATATAGCATATATTCAGAATCGTTATCCAATCATGTTTAAACCTAATTATGAAACTACACACAAACAAAAATGTTTAGTTAAAATAACACATCTATACACATCCTTTAGCATAAGTGATTAACCAGGCAGTTTAATAATTGTGGTTGATTTTTTTATGTCACACCATTTGTACTAAAAGTAAAACGTATAGCGAGTTACAAGGTACAATACACGAGATTACAAATGATATGAGAGGTTTGACTATCAGCTTTCCTTGTCAATTATCCGTTTTACTGTAGGCTGGCTATAAGTAACTTGGTGTTGATTTCAAATCAATTAAAATGGATATAAAGGGCGAAAAAAAAATTTTTTGTTATCGCAGTCAAACCTTAAAATATTCAACAATTCTGACACGTCACTTCTGTCTTTATCCAACAAACATAAAAGTTCTCTATCCATGACGTAAACTAGCAGCTACCATATTTTAATGGATACATGACATCTGCGTCGTTCATTTGAAATTGTGACACCTGCCTATTTCTTATACTTGTGACACTCGCCTTATCCACTTTGGAAAATTGTGACACCAGTCTCATTCACTGTAACACATCCGTCTCGTTTACCTCATTCACTTTAGAATTGTAACACATCCGTCTCGTTTACCTCATTCATTTTGGAACTGTAACAACCATCTCGTTTACCTGATTCACTTTAGAAATGGAACGCATCCGTCTCGTTTACCTCATCAATTTGAAAATGTAACGCTCGGTCGATTTATTTTTAACTTGTGTCTTCTGTGTCAATCATCTTGAAATCGTAACACGTTTTCAGTACATGCACATTTTATAGCAATTATGAAAAAAAGGACCTTTATTTGTGTCTATGCCATAATTGATTAAATCGGCGTGTCCCTAGAATATAGATAATTGAAAAGTTCGCGTTAGTGCTAATACATTTAGATGGCAGTGATTTTCGGATGGACAGACTTAGCACTATGAAGTTAGAAACTGTAATATACAAAACTTTCACCAACTGACCAGTCTCCTTCAAACTCATTACTTTGTTAAGAGAAAGCTCAATATTCTTCAACTATATTACTATATTTCCATTTTATATGCCAGTACAAATAACATTTAAAATTGGTGATTTATGTCTGGTCTTGTTGGGAGTCAATCTGAATCGTGTTCAAGAATATACCCTGATGTATGTCTCTTTGGTTTGGTGTCCGTTGTCCAATGGTGATTGTGTATCGTGTCGAATTTTGATTCTAAATAGGTATGTGAACATGTTACGTTGTATTCTTATCAGTGGTGGGCACTACTTTCCTGACTAATTACCCACTCGTGAGAGATTGTAAAGGAAGTGTTTAAGTAAGCCTATACATTTGTACCATACCTTTGTTTCTCCTTTTCGATTCTATACAGTAAACTTGAAGTCATGTTCTAAATCTTATTATGCGCATGCACGTATTCATAATCTAAAGCTCACTCGCTAATCAATTCCGTTTGTTCCTTCTCGTACTTGAATGGACAATAATAACTTCGGAATTTGATTTTGAAATTTTTAATCGGCTTGACTTGCCAACCTGATGTTAATTTGAAATGTTATTTACGTGTATTCTAAAGACCGTCCCGATGATCAGACACAGACCGTGTCTCTGATTATACGGGTGGTACAATTAATTATATATTAGTATAGAATTTATTGGGAATCATTATCCATATATATATAAACGATATTTTAGCATTTTATAAACAGCAATATCTAAGAGAGAGAAAAAAAATCGAACCATTTTTTTTTCACTTGGATAATATCATACAAATTCCGTTTGTATGTCTTTCACACTTTGATACAAGGTAATACACCCTACATGTGTTTCTCTCTCTTGATAAATACTAAAGTAAATAATGAACGTGCGCACCGTGTACTGTTTATAGTAATCCGTATCTGTGTTAGAACTTAATACACCACTACTATTATCAAATCAATAGTAAAAAAATAGCAGAGATAAAAAAATATTGAAATAGACAATTGAGAAAAATTATAGATATCATATGACGTACCTTGTTTTTGGGTTATTCCATGTAAAACCTCTCTGTAAGCAATGTACAAAAATCACCTGTTATTAACAGGACTTTAAAATTCGGCCTCACTACTACCTGTACATGGTACCCGATTGTCCCACCGCCATGTTGTAACCAATGAAGCGTACGGTCACTAAGGTCGTTTAAATTTATAATCGTCTGCTACCTTCAATATCATGTTAAAGCAATTTAGTATATTGTATGTGGTTGTCAATCATCACAATGCAGACATAGAAAGTGGCTATGATTTTTTCCCTTTTTAATACTCTCAATTTAGATATTTTCAATGCCAAAACAACAAGTTTGCGAAAACGGGTCTTTGTTCTGAAATGGATTTACATTAAAGGCTTTTAAATTTTATGGATCAATGAACAGAGTGGAGTCCACGAATTACGTCCCTTGTGTCAATATACTTTTTAAATGCCGATAGACGGCAGTATATAAACGTTTTAGTGACTCCGATTTACAGTTCGGAATACTCTCGGGTTGCAGAGAAAAGACTAGAATTCCATATTTGTCATTTCTCTCACTGAGAAAACAACTGCATGTTTGTCTCTGAGACTAGCATCCTCCCTCCTACAGGGATGAGGGTGCGGGTGGTGAACATGGAGGGTCAGGAATTCATAATTGATCTAAATCCAGACTTGAAAATCGACGCTGTCAAAATACGATCTTTAGGTCATTTCCTGAACCCGGCTGACAGTATGAAAAGTTCTCTGTATCACAAGATCCTTCTCGTTCGTACAGGAAAAATACTTAGCGACGAAAAGACACTGTCTCAGGAAGGAGTTACTGACAACGGTAGTATAAATATTCATGCAAGAAAATACTAGAATTTGTAACAAAGTGGGCTACAGTTACATTAACTTCACACATTTAATTTCCAAGTGTGTCCAACACATGTGCAAAATGGTTTTTGAATGATGGGGCTAGCAAATGTATAACGTTTTATGCTAAAAACTACAGGAAAACAACACATTTTTTTGTAAACTTCATACTCAGTTCAGTCAATATAATACTTTCGTGTAGAGACCTAAATAGCTAGGTCACTGGCTCGTGGTTATGCACAGTGTCCTCCTGGACAGTTTTAGATGTCGCTAGTTCAAGCCACTAGAGGGGCATGGCATGGTTCATATTACTTCCTATAACATACATATGTTGCACCTCAAGTGTTGAAGATCTCATAAAGGTAGTACGAAAAAGGCATTAGCATAGCATCTTATTGCATATGTATTTATAATTACCTTACACAAATCAGACAGTGACTGAAACAAGGCAATGTTGTTCACACACTTATTTGATCTCATCGTAAGATGTTTAAGAGCAGTTTGATCAAAACTAATTTCCCCACTGGATTACTGCTTCTGGTTTTCAGACAATTCAAAGATAATGGCATCACAAATGGAAAGGAAAGTCCAGTCACTGATATTGATTCCCAAACTGAAGTCTTTGAAGAGCTCCTCTGGGAACTTGTGGTTGCCAAAAGCTACAATCCTATAAAAAATTATTTCCACTAATCTGGTGATGAAAGATCAAACAAGAGAACAGGAGAAACAAGAGAAGAAAATAGTATACATTATTGTTATACCAACATCTGAGCCATAAACCTGCCATATTTCAACTGTTGCTGAAAACATCAACGTTGCACGACCCCTATTCCCCCCACACATCCATCTCCACCCACTCAGCTTTTGTTTGCAAGGTATCCTCTTGCATCCCACTATACCAGTGTAACAGGCCAAACATTATTTACCCTGAACACTAGATATGTATTCTGACCCAATGACCAGCTACCCACATGAATTCACCCACATATCCAATTTAAATAAACCTATCTATAGGGTTTTTCCTAGTCTCCCATCCAAACTCATTTGTCAGGATTTTATTCTTTTGTTAAGTGCACTCGTACATATTACTGGCTTGAAACAAGGATAGACTACAAGTGTGATGGGATTCACCTCCAGATGAAAAAAAGGCCTTGTGGGCTGAACTATAGTGTACTAATTTGTTCACCCCTGAAATTTATGAGTAATGAGCAGGGGTATATATTATATTATTCAGTCCAATAGAAGTCATTATCAAATGTGAAATTGCAATGCCATTCCCTGCACTGTAATCGTTGTGATTGTCATGAGTATGTCCATTTAAGCAGCAGATTTGGGGTCATTGGAATTTGTCATGTAGGATTTTAAGCCTAAGTGTGTTGAACTTTGTACAATATTAAAAAAGTTGGTGTTTAATACTGATAAATTAATTAAAAATATTATTCTCTTACTTTTCATGGATATTGTGTATATATAGCTGTTGTTAATTGAATCTGGGTTACTAAGTACAATTTATTGAAATTTCTGTATCTTTTCAAATTCTTACATTGATTGCTCAATTGTATTGAACTGTATGTAGAGTATTCAGAAAACTTTGTGTTTAATGATAGTGAATTAATTGAAAATATCATTCTCTTACTTTTCATTGACATTGTGCATATATTTGCTGTTAACTGGATCAGGGTTATTGAGTACAGTTTATTGAAATTTCTTTTTCTTTTCAAATTCTTACATTAATTGCAGATGAGTTGATAATACTGAAGAAGAGACTAGTCCCATCCAGATATGAGAGCAAAGATCCGGTAAGTGTTGCTAGTGGTTATACAGTGCTTCCTCAACCTTTTACCACCTGATAATGTTGCCACACTTGTATATTAATTCAAATGTTCCAAATTACTCTGTATTTCCCTCAGTGTTATTGCCAAATTGGGTCGTCGTTGAGCTCTCTAATGTTCTTTTTGTATACATATGGGAATTCTTGATTTTACTGGCACAGGTAACAGTTACGCTTCAGTGATTTCATTTACTAATCAAATTGATGCCTATAGGTGCAGGTTCGTATTGTAATAAAACAATGGGTTATTTATACTCGTATTGTGTTTGTGTTGTACACCTGTATGTCAAAATTTAGCTTTGCCATTCATGATCGGAGACTGAGAGAAGATATTAGACCACGGTCAAAAAACATTTATAATGACTTTGCCCATGGTAACCCAAAAGTATCACCCCAGTAATTAGCAAATCATGATCAGTTTTCTTCTTTATTGTATTTACAACTCGGACATTGATCTGTTTCAGAGATAGTGACAAATAAAAACACATATGCCATTTTTTTCCCAAAACTGGGGCCATATTAGACAATCTGTTCTTGTGTGACAATATTGTAACTGTACATTTGGATTTTGCCACATATAAAGATATTGATCAATTATCTTATACAAAGTTCTATTTCATCAAATTTCGATACTGTCACCACCCTCATGATACTGCCTAAATCTGTATGGGCCAAAACATGGCGGTATGATGAGGGTATACACATATATATGGCAGAATGAAGCAGCCTTGGTAGAATGAAATACTCGCAATATCCTCAACAATTTTTATGATTTCTTTAATTGAGTCCATGACCCATTTTCCAAAGTTTTGATGAGTCTCATTTTAAGAGGTATAGTGTACTCTCAAAATTTGGGTGAGACTCACTGGAAAAGCATGAGTCAAGGTCTCAGATATCTGAGTCCTAAAAAAACACTATATTTGTATACTCTCATACATATAAAAACTGTGTTCAAGGGTTGTTTCCCAATTTTACAATTTCTCTATATTGAGAGCTGACAGATAAAGTCAGAACTCAGGGTTTTGAGAGATGCTGGTTGATGGAGATTATAGAGAAGTTTGATAGATTTCACTATATAATCTCCTTCGGAAATGTCCTTCCCTGTGGGGTTTGAAGTTGAATGTTCAATGTTAGTTGTATGAAAAAAAAAATCATCATTTTTTCCCTCTGAAATCAATGTTTAATTTACTCATTTAGTCATATGATTTTTTCAAGTTCCTCATAGTTTGCTGTTGTTTCACTGATTTTGAGTTTGAATTAAGATTCCGTTTACAGTATTTTATTTGTATTTTTCCTCAATTGAACTAGCTGCAGAGAGAAGAAAGTAAAAAAATCACCATGGATACTATAAAAGAGGTCACATCCCGTCTTCCTGCAGCAAAAGCACCGAAGGCTCCAGAGACTCCACCAAACCTAGATGTAAGTTTTCTGAGAAGAATAAAGAGCAGTATGATGTGGTCAGTTCTTTTGATTAATAGTCAGTCCAGTGTGTGGTATAGAGCTATGGTAATATACATATTTATAACATCTCATCAGTTAAGTAGGAAAGATCAAGGAAAAATATTTCTGTCTTTTCATAATGCAGAGTTATCTGCTCTTTTTGAGCTAGTATTGGTTGTTTGGTAGGTAATTAGTTTGTGTGAGAAAGTTGTGTTGTTTTCTCTTGAAGTCACTCTCACAAACAAATGACTTCACAGTCAATACCTTCTCAAAGAAGTAGATATCTCTACTTATATAAAAGAAGGAACGACAGTTCTACTAATATTTGACTGTGATCTAAGTCAGTGATGGTAAATATTCTATCACCCTTCTATCTGTCAACTCTTCCATGTGGAATTTTGTTTTAGTTTCAGACAGAGCTGAGGAAGATCTTGGTCTCGCTGATAGAAGCTTCCCAAAAGATATTGTGTCTTAATCCAGAGGCATCAAAGATATTTAAACAAGCTGAAGGTATATTTGTTTCATTTTCAATGTATGTAGTGTACAGCCACAGGTGTAATACACATGACCTGATAAAATAACCCTGTCTTATGTGAAAATTTCAAACTAATGTAAGCTTTTCTTTCTTGAAGTGGCACAACGGTGTGATAAAAAGTGGGAAATTTAATCTTTCTGTAAATGTGTAGTAGTAACACAGTTCAATGTTTTATTAACATTGATGTTTGGAAATCTTATATAACTTTATAAAATCAAGTTTAGTTAAATAATATTACCAAAATTTGAAATTACAATTTACTATACAGGAACAATATCTAATGCAATCACACATACATGTTTATATAACTAATTTATCTTTACAGATATGTTAAAAGAATCAACTGAGCCTAAGATTGACCAGGTTTCGTTACGAAAACTTACAGAAATGGGGTTTCCTGAAGGAAGAGCTAAGAAAGCCTTATTGTTGAATAAGTAAGTTGTAAGACTTTTAAGTCTGCTGTACCTGAGTTTGCCAAGATTTTCATTAGGATCAACTATGATAAAAACAACTATAAATATTAGTAGTTCATCCTTATAGAGCTGGAAATTAGTCAATAATCATTAACTAAGAGGAGATAATTTGCTCTCAGATCAACTCTTTTTGTCAATGCTTTTGAATAAATTATTGAGAGAGAAAAATTTTTCTGACAACTGTAGAAATTCAGATTATTATAAACTGGGAACTTTAAAGTTAATCATGCAATGGTTGACAGGAATAATGGTTCAGGATTCTCTAAGTACCAATATAATGTTTTTATTTCTTAACAGATGATATAACTCAAATGTGGTTTGGAGTTGCTGTACAACAGTTGATTTAGCTGGTAGACACTTACGTTTGTCTGTAAAAATCTTGACCGTATATAAAGGTCTTAGTCACAATTACTGACATCAATAAGTTACAGCTAGTATTCATTATTACTGTTTAAAACTATATGTACTACATAAGATATGTAGTATTTCAAACAATGTTAAGATTACAGCATACCAAAGTTATGCTGTGGTGAAAAATAAATCCGGAATGGTGCAAATACCAACAAACTTCATTTCACAGAGGCTATTGATATGAATATGAAGTTTCTGGTTATTGGGAGGAATTTTTCAACCAACCAAAAGGATTTCAAAAATATGAAAGTTTTATACTTCAGTATGTTTGTAAATTCAAAATGATTATTTTTGTTCTATTTCATTGGATTTGGAAGAATATTGAATTCTGCCAAGTAATAGAGTAACCATGATAGCTGGTGCTATTACATATGTGATGACATGCTGACTGAAAAGACACTCCAACAGGGGGCACTCACCACTCCAACACATGGCACTCTCAGTGTTAACAATCTTTGATTTAGTCTTTGGATTAGTCTCAAAAGAGTTCATCGTTCTTGTGGGTGTGGATTTGAGGATGCCATGCTATATTGTTACAATCTGTTCTTTTTGAATCTCATGTTATTTTTAATCTCTTTCCAATATTCTTATTGGTCTATTAATTTCAGTGGTAAGGTCCTGTATATATGAAGCCTTAAAAGAATTTCACATTTGATAAAATTAAAAAAAAATAATGTTGAGACTCAATAATTATTCATTGGAATATTGTATCACACTTGCTGACAACAAAGGTGACAAGTCTTTGCAGCCTATGAATAGATCAATCACACTTATTCCTCCAATACATGTAGTACTGAAAAATTTCCTGTCATAGGACATAGCATTTGCACTAAATGACACATCCAATATACCATAATTCATTTCTTTGTGAACCACCTGTATTTAGTGAGTAGACAAGAGTGGTAAAGATTTTCTGTTAATTAAATCCTACTTAAAGTTTCATTATCACTATCATTGATCACAAAGTACAATGTCCTGATTACGCATTTCAGGATGTCGGTGACAGAATCAATGGAATGGCTAATACAGCATGAGGCAGATCCTGGTATAGACGAACCTGTCCCTGGTACTGATGAAACACCAGAACAGGAGGAACAGGTCAGTTAGAGTTATCTCCCTTCTTTCATTCAATTTTTCAAGATTTTAATCATAATTTCTCGTAGCTTTCTTTCATACACTGTGACCTGATCTCTCTTGACATTCTCTATACTATTAGTTATGTAGTTTGCTAGTGACCCCCTACAGGAATATAGGGGTTCAGTCAGATTGGTAGGGGGTGAGGGCGAAGCACCAAGGACCCATTTAAATATATATATAATACGTCCCATCACATTTCCTGGCATCCATGTAAAAATGGCCAAGACATTCATCCAGTCGGACTACATCGTAATCTTCAAAATCTGGGTTTTGCTGCTTTTCCACCAAATAATCTTTGAACACTTTAGCGGCCAACTTATTAGCTTTTAACGTCTTATCAGCGTTAAGTGCCAGGCGTTTTTTTTCCTTGTCTGCAGCTGTCGTCTGCCCGAACCGCCCAGCCATTTTTGATCCGAGTCAAATAGGTGCTTCGTGTAGGGGAAACAACTCGTACTAGATAATAGCAACTTCTAGGATTCACTCTAGCCAATATTCCGACACGGAACAGAATGTGAATATCGCCAATCTGTGATTTGAAATTACGAAGTGACGCCTTTCAGAGATAATGGATGGCGGCCATTGCCCCCTATATATTCAGCTGCCCCCTATAGATTTATAGGGGGCAAGCAACGTCCAATCAGATCAATGCATTCTAGTCCGAGGTGCAATAAAAACGAAACAGCTGTCAATTTATTCCAATATTGTGTTTGTTGACTGTATAATTTCTGGGACATGGAAGGTCACATAATGCTATACATTGAAATCATAGTGTTACCTCATACGTTAGAGGCATAATTAAGTCTGATATCATCGGGAATGACGTTCAATGCATACAACATTTTGTTTGTCGGAGATGGTGAGAGTAGCCTCCCTTGATTTTCGGTAGGTGTGGTTATTTTTTGCGTTGTCGATCGGCCAATTGTGACTTGTCTGAGTATATCATGCTAATGTTCATTTATGGAAGTTAAAGTAGTATTCTTACTTCATCTTTTGAAAAATAACACTTCTTTGTGAATAGTTAACCATCAACATGTATGTTATAAGCCTCTGTATGGTCATATCAAAATAGACTATTGAATTAATACTTCCTTTTATAATTCACATTGATGGGTATACTTGTGTTATCCATCATTTGTATCAGTTGATCAATCTGTTTATCAATAGTTTGTAATCTTAGGATACATAATGGATAAATCCTTACATAGATGCCGACTGTAATTTCCTGAAAAAAGGTCACATCTTTAAATTTGACCCAAAAGATTTAAGTCAGTGAAAATATACTTACAATTGTTATTGCTGTTCAGCCCTATATTACAGTAGGTATGTTTTGATGAAATTTGAGGTCAGAATAAAACAAATCATAAAGCACGTGATTTAAGGCCAAGGTAGCAATTAGCCAAATTTTCTGTATACTGGTTTATGTGTTAATAAAGAAATGGAAGAAGAATACCAACTCCTAAAGCTAGTAGGGGAATTCAAACAAATTCTTCAAAATCCTTTCTTTTCCGTAGGAATACCTTGATTTTGAGGCATGCTTTGATGAAGGGGTTTATTTCGATTTAAACCAAGGGTCTTGGCTCCCTTGGCCAGTAAAGAGAACTTTGTTTTATATAAACTGTTCATTTTAACCCCAATCCCAACCCGTTTTTGGCAGAGGGGTAGGGTCTTCTAGGAGAAATCGATACAATTTTTTAAACACTGTGTGCTAATGAAGCAATTACAGAAAACTAAACCAGGTGTGCGTTACAGGACCTATGGGCCTCTTGTTTAGTTGTTTACCTCTTTTTAAGAGACTTCCAATGGGTATCCTCTTGAAATCTGACTGAAGATGAACCTCAGTACACACATGAACAAGATGTTTGTTCTTCTGAAGTTTCTCCTACTGGAGATTTTCTGGTCTGATTGATATTTGGTTTTACCACAAATTCAAACTTTTTTAGGGTTTAACAAAAAACAAGCCATTTTATAGACCTGAATGTATTGTTGATAATTTTATACAGACTGAGGGAGCTGTAGGAGGCATGGATGATAATGATGATAGTCAGTCACCTCAGGTCACAAATATACTCAAATCACTACGGGCATTCAGAAGGAGGGAATTCAAGGCGAATCCAAGGGTTAGTATCATATTACAGGTTATGGGGTAAATTATTTTAAACTTTAAAACTAAGGTTCTATGTATTTGATGTTCCATGTACACTGTGTCTGTTATTGAACTATGTTAACAGGCTACAAACCATAGTATAAGATCAGGACTAATGGAAAGGGAACTTCCATATTTAGCAAGAAACCTATTTAGAGTGTAAGACTTGTCCTGTTTACTGTAGATATTGATGTTTTGACCAAAGTTTCATAAAAGTTGAAAGTAATCAAATCAATGATTTCTGTTTTTGTCGTATTTTTTTTTCAAAATAAATCAAATTATACATATATTAGAACAATTTGAAGGAAATATTTACAAAGGAAGGAGAAATAACAGCCTCTAGTTGACATTTGTGATGCAAATATGTGAAAGTGTTACTGCCTTTAGTTATCAAACTTCAGAATTACAGCTCATGTTTAAGGTATACCCCCAGTTACAAAGATAATAGCGTAATTAAATATGAAAAACAAAATTTGAAAAATGAAATGTAATTTAATACAACTGCTGCCTAATTATATCTGTTTTGAAATGTTTATTTAGAGCTTCGGCTCACAAATACATAGTAGTTTCAATTACCTTTCATCATTTTGTTTACGTGCAGGCCCTCCAGAACCTAGTGGAGATGGGATTTCCTGAAAAAGATGCCATTGACGCGCTGAGAGTGGGCAGGAATGACCAGGATGCAGCAGTGAGTGACAATGTTCCTACAAATCTTTTTTCCCGTTTATTTCCAGACTGTTACACTACTATCAAATCTTTAGCCTTATATATAATTATTATGTCTGGTGTACCTAAAATAAATTTTAATCCTGCTCTTGAACGAAAATCTTGCATTAATAACAACCATTAAAATTCCTTGTTTATATCAAGTACTAGGCGAGATAAAATTGATGATGAACATAGCGTAACGCTCTGTACTTTGTATCCAATTTCAATTTTTATTTGCAACTGTCATCATACTGCAAAATTTATTAAGTATGCAGATGAATATGGTATACATATTAAGTCTTTATTGAATATTTTATGCACATAAATTCAGCATATCAAAGCTGACAATGCAAGTTGAAAAGAATTAATTCTTGCAACCTGTCAAACTGGAATTTTTTAAATTTGCGTTGTCATCTTTAAAATTGTTTGATGTAATAATTAATTGTTTATTATATCTGAAACGATCTGTCACTCTAGGAAAAGAATCAGGAAACAGTTTTATGTTTTAATGTAAACAAATTTTGACACACCTCTTAGAGAAAAGAATTTATTGAATATTTTATGTAGATAAATTCAACATATTGATATTGTTTGATAAAATAATTACTTGTTTATGATATCTCAAACAATCTGTCACTCTGTGAAAAGAATAAGGAAACAGTATTATTTGAATTTGAATTAATTTTCATACTCTTTTAAAGAATTAAAAAAAAAAAAAATTCAATAAAAAAAAATTTTTTTAATTCCACATTATTCATTTCTAGCACTGATCATGTTCAATTTTCCAGTGTGACTGGTTGCTAGGAGACCGGAAAACCAAGCCGGAAGAAATGGAGGAAGGAATTAATACCAACAGTTCCATCTACAAAGCTATAATGGCCAATCCAACAGTACAACTAGGACTGAACAATCCTCGTTGTTTATTAGGTCAGGGCCCATTTTGTCACGGTTATAGATCTCTATATGACCACTATGTACATACTGGTCTTTAAATGATTACTAGGCATGTAAAGATACTAGTTTCCAATGTAAAATCATATATATTTTTGTGTTTTTTCCAAAAAACAAAAAATATCTCTTTGTTATCTACAATTGATTTTATGGATAAAATTGCTCAATAAATAAATCTCCTTAAACTTATTTCAACAGTTTGTAGACATGAATTCATGGATTAAGGGTACCCTCAGTTTGTAGACATGGATTAAGGGTAACCTCAGTTTGTAGACATGGATTCATGGATTAAGGGTACCCTCAGTTTGTAGACATGGATTCATGGATTAAGGGTACCCTCAGTTTGTAGACATGGATTCATGGATTAAGGGTACCCTCAGTTTGTAGACATGGATTCATGGATTAAGGGTACCCTCAGTTTGTAGACATGGATTCATGGATTAAGGGTACCCTCAGTTTGTAGACATGGAATGGATTAAGGGTACCCTCAGTTTTTGTAGGGTACATGGATTCATGGATTAAGGGTAGGGTACCCTCAGTTTGTAGACATGGATTCATGGATTAAGGGTACCCTCAGTTTGTAGACATGGATTCATGGATTAAGGGTACCCTCAGTTTGTAGACATGGATTCATGGATTAAGGGTACCCTCAGTTTGTAGACATGGATTAAGGGTAACCTCAGATTGTAGATATGGATTCATGGATTAAGGGTACCCTCAGTTTGTAGACATGGATTCATGGATTAAGGGTACCCTCAGTTTGTAGACATGGATTCATGGATTAAGGGTACCCTCAGTTTGTAGACATGGATTCATGGATTAAGGGTACCCTCAGTTTGTAGACATGGATTTGTATTGACATGGATTCATGGATTAAGGGTACCCTCAGTTTGTAGACATGGATTCATGGATTAAGGGTACCCTCAGTTTGTAGACATGGATTCATGGATTAAGGGTACCCTCAGTTTGTAGACATGGATTCATGGATTAAGGGTACCCTCAGTTTGTAGACACCCTCAATTTGTAGACATGGATTCATGGATTAAGGGTACCCTCAGTTTGTAGACATGGATTCATGGATTAAGGGTACCCTCAGTTTGTAGACATGGATTAATGGATTAAGGGTACCCTCAGTTTGTAGACATGGATTCATGGATTAAGGGTACCCTCAGTTTGTAGATATGGATTAATGGATTAAGGGTACCCTCAGTTTGTAGATATGGATTAATGGATTAAGGGTACCCTCAGTTTGTAGATATGGATTAATGGATTAAGGGTACCCTCAGTTTGTAGACATGGATTAATGGATTAAGGGTACCCTCAGTTTGTAGACATGGATTCATGGATTAAGGGTACCCTAATGGATTAATGGATTAAGGGTACCCTCAGTTTGTATGGATTCATGGATGGAGTTTGTAGACATGGATTAAGGGTACCCTCAGTTTGTAGACATGGATTCATGGATTAAGGGTACCCTCAGTTTGTAGACATGGATTCATGGATTAAGGGTACCCTCAGTTTGTAGACATGGATTAAGGGTAACCTCAGTTTGTAGACATGGATTCATGGATTAAGGGTACCCTCAGTTTGTAGACATGGATTCATGGATTAAGGGTACCCTCAGTTTGTAGACATGGATTCATGGATTAAGGGTACCCTCAGTTTGTAGACATGGATTCATGGATTAAGGGTACCCTCAGTTTGTAGACATGGACATGGATTAAGGGTACCCTCAGTTTGTAGACATGGATTCATGGATTAAGGGTACCCTCAGTTTGTAGACATGGATTAATGATTAAGGGTACCTAGACATGGATTCATGGATTAAGGGTACCCTCAGTTTGTATGGATTCATGGATTATATGGATTAATAAGGGTACCCTCAGTTTGTAGACTCTCAATTTGTAGACATGGATTCATGGATTAAGGGTACCCTCAGTATGTAGACATGGATTCATGACTTAAGGGTACCCTCATTTTGTAGACATGGATTAATGGATTAAGGGTACCCTCATTTTGTAGACATGGATTAATGGATTAAGGGTACCCTCAGTTTGTAGATATGGATTAATGGATTAAGGGTACCCTCAGTTTGTAGACATGGATTAATGGATTAAGGGTACCCTCAGTTTGTAGATATGGATTAATGGATTAAGGGTACCCTCAGTTTGTAGACACCCTCAATTTGTAGACATGGATTCATGGATTAAGGGTACCCTCAGTATGTAGACATGGATTCATGACTTAAGGGTACCCTCATTTTGTAGACATGGATTAATGGATTAAGGGTACCCTCATTTTGTAGACATGGATTAATGGATTAAGGGTACCCTCAGTTTGTAGACATGGATTAATGGATTAAGGGTACCCTCAGTTTGTCTGTATATCACCCCTGGATGTGTATAAATACTGATTTCTGTATATGACTCCAGGAGATTTATAATTAGGAGTCTCGGTATGAAAGCCCTAGAAGGTGTGAATATGACCTTTTTTGATATGTAAGCACTTTTGCTTAAATATCTTGTATATTCCTGACAGCTTTATACAGATAAGTGGCTTCGTTTACTTTCATTTTCTCCAGATCAATAAATATTTACCTTCCTCCATTCTATACTAAACAGAATTAACATTAGTGAAATGACTGTTAAATGCATCTTTCCCCATTAAATAAATTGTGTTTAAGTTTTACAGAATGAAAGAATCAGAATTGTGACGTCATAGTTTTGCATTTGTTTTCAGATATTCTTGAGGTAAGAATCTCATTTAGATGAAGGCAAATTGTACCAGTTAAATGTAATTATTTTCGGTTTGTTTTTCACAGCGTTTCTACAGATGTTGGAGAGTCCTTTTATGACACAGCAGTGGCTAAATGATCCAGAGACTGGACCACTGTTGGTACAAATATCACGTATTTATCACTCAGAGAAACACTCGGGTGCACAATCAGACTCTGCTACCAAAACTGCTGATACCATGACACTGTCATCATCTATTTCATCCTCAGCATCGTCAGACTCCTCCTTTGCCAGCACATCAACGCAAATCCTTTCATCACAGCATAATCGAACATCCCAAGAGTCTCTCTCAATACCAAATAGCCAAATATCAAGGTCAGAGAGTGATCCTATTGGGACAAGGTCAAGGTTACCAGACAATGACGAAGTAAATTCAAGGGCATTATTACCAGAGGATGCTTCATCTGTTTCGTTAGGAAATAACCATACGGAAGATGGAAGTGAAAATGATATAAGACCTACAGTTGCTAGGCAACAACGTGATGCGGGGTCACCTCCAGTAACAATGTCAAGGTCATCATCTTCAGGAAAGGTGAAAGGTGATAACAAGTCTAAAGGAAGGTGACGTCCTGACTTGTAAGCAGCAAGATTTTATCGGATTATTTATGTTTTGTTTGATATTCACAGCACTCTGTTTTTTTTCTAGTACATGTACCTAAAGCTATTTCCTGTCTTGTTCCCAATTATTTGTAAAATTGTGGAACCTGTAATTAATTCAGAAACATTTAGCAACTGGTATTACTGTGAGTTCCTAAATCATAATGTCTTGGCGATGCAGTCATCTTTAGGCATGTGTTAGTACACTGTAACTTCAGATGTCAAGAATTTTTCAAAATACAGTGTATTATTTGACAACTTTCAAATAAACATGAAATTGTATCTTCAGAACAGAGAATGTATTTTTTCAAAAACTGTCTTTCGATATTTAATAATGTTTCAAAGCTGTGAATTAACACTCAGAAATACCAGATTAAAATTAAAGACTTTACACATGCTTGTTTGATCATTGCAGTTTAGAATGTTTAGTTCTAATTCTGTGCAGTTGCATGTGCATTCTTTAAGCAGTCCAGAGTATTTTCTTTAGTTCCAAGTCCAGTAACATGTCACAACTACTTAACATACCACTCCACAAATGACAGTGTGATTGGAATTCATTCCCTTGAACAATCTGCCTCATTTGTAAATCACACATATGTAATAGAGAATCCGTGTCATTGATTAGTTTTTGGAAGTTGTTTATTGAAAACATTATTTCATCTTTTGACAAGATATTTCTTGTGATATTAGCAGGATAAGTGCTGATGTGAAGGTTGTGTTATAAATTGAGAAGTGCTAAAGCACGATGTTTGTAATCACTATTGTGTATGTATAAGAATGATAAATCAGTATTGCAGTATTTTCATAGTGTTTTGAATTGTCATGAATTTTTTTATGTCCTTGTTAAGAAGTCTGTGACAAAGCTATATCATACTGGTCATTTTCTATGTATATGGCAAATTATGACCATCTCAAATTTATTTAAACATGTAAAAGGCATTTGTCCTGTGTATTATACTCATGTCAGTCATGTTGGGTTTCCGTTGTTCATCATATGAATGTAGGGGGATTTGGAGTTCTACCTGTAAGTATAGGATTTTGGTTAAATTGCTGGTTGAAGGTAGGGGGATATGGGGTTCTACCAGTAAGTATAGGATTTTGGTTAAATTGCTGGTTGAAGGTAGGGGGATATGGGGTTCTACCAGTAAGTATAGGATTTTGGTTAAATTGCTGGTTGAAGGTAGGGGGATATGGGGTTCTACCACTGAGTATAGGATTTTGGTTAAATAGCCATTTGAAGGTAAGGGAGTATTTGGTTCTACAAGAGGATGTAGAGCTTGGATCAAAATATTGTATGAAGTTAGGGGAATATTGAGCTCTACCAGAAGATGTAGAATCTTTGTCCAAATATTGATGGAGGTTGTGGAATATGAAATTTGGCTTGATAGTTAGAATTCTGTTTTGTTATCTAAGCATACCACATGAAGAATGTTGATATCCTTCATTATTGACCTTCCTGTTTTTTCCTTCTTTCTATATAATACAGGAACTGCGTAAAATTGATAGCTACATTGTAAGGAGATATCAGTGTGTTGATTGCTTATATTACTGCAGTATAACCTCACTATTAAGACTTAAAGATTCTGGATAAAACTGATCTGAATAGACCATGTAGACAAATTTCTCTTCTGGTCATATTTCCCGAGTAATCAGATTGTTATATTGGTTTAAAATGTTGTTCTTAATTCGGATAAGCGCACTTGACAACCTAAATTTAGCTAGCTCACCTGACACCTGGTAGATGTATACAGGATATGTGCCTGGTAACTTCGTGATTTTTTGTGATTGGCCAGTGGTCTGATAATTAGTGAGATGAAATTCAATGCAAAACTGGTTTTTAATTATAGCTGATCATAATTGTGAGTGGTCTTCACAATGTAGTCTTACATGTAATAGTGATGCATGCAATACACAGACATACAGATAATTTATTTTTTTAAATGAAATTCAGTGGTTTTAATTGTGAGAAGATCTTTAACAGAGATTTCACTATAATTCCCTTGTAGTCCAAATTATTTCGATGTTCTATTCTCCTTTTTTTACATTAGACAGACCTTTTTCTTATAAAGTACAATTTTTTTCCCCTTGAGAACAGTTTTTGTGTGACAGTTACGAGGTATTGTGTGTAATGGAAAATTATTAAGAATGTGTGTAAAAAACATAAAAATTATAAATTGATTGCAGCACTGAATTCAAAACCTTTTTGGATGGTCATGTAAATAAAACGCCAGGTTTCAATAATTGCTAGGTTTGACAGGCACAGAAAAGTACATTACATATTTAGTTGATGTACAGACAAAGATGGCTCAAGAAGAGTGTGCTTCCCAATGAATTAACCTGTATGCCACGTTTTAGTTCATTTAAATAATGGCATGATTCAGAAACAGCTGTATGATGCAGTTTTAAAGTATTGTTTAAAGCTTTACTTGTTTCGAAGCGCCCTATTCTTTAGTTATTTTTGTCTCCATACATATGCCATAGTTTCCTGTGCGTGTTTTGATTAGTAATTAAAGTACGTTGTTTTCCTTAACGAAAGATTTTATTTCATGAATCCTAAGAGATTTATGAATAATCACACATTTATATTTGTGAAGTTGATTGTTGTTTTTAATAAATGATATACATTATAGAGCACAATTTGAAATTCATTTTGTTGAATCTAAACGCACAGCCCACAAGGTTTACGAATTACCTCCCTTTATGTGTGTTCAAAATAGGTTTGTTATATTATTTTTGCCTATTTTTGAAATAAACATGGATACAAATTTTTTTTAATTAGCTTAGAAATTATCTTCACAAAAATGAGCTAATTCAAATAATGTTTTACATGGTTTGAAATTGAATGTTGCAATGAAACTTTTTCATGAGGTTATCATAATCTTGAGATAGTGTTTAAGGCCAGTTCATGTGATGCTCGTTACAAAGTGCTGTACATATGATGTTATTAGCTATGGTAAAACATTGTTTTAGTTATTGCATAAACATATCTTCTGGAAGAACATACCAGTATTAAACATAAGCGCCCTTAAGTTTTGCTCTTACATTTATTTGATTTTTTTTTTTACCTAAAGGATAAATTCCAAATGTGAAAGAGCTAAAAGAATTCATAAGAATTTTCATTTTGTCTTTTTTAAGGCCCTTGTTAGAAGGAAGAACTTTCATTCATAAGTTTTCTTTGCTGTTTTGTATGGTTCCCACAGAAAAATTGAGATGCATCATATTTTAAAATTCTTCAGCATTTTTTGGAAGTTTGAGTTTTTTCATCTGATTATGATGGACATTTTTTTTCAAAAAACCAGGAACAGCTTTTACATTTATAAGTATTTAGTTCTATCTGTGTATTTCATCATATGCATGATGCCTGAAATGACAAGTTCTGCCCCAAAAAAAGAAGACAAGATTGAAGGCCATGTGCCATGCTACACATTTTTGAAAGTCTGTTGCTATTAATAGTTAATTTGGCATGCTATCAATTTTACAAACATAATTCTAAAAATGAGTCTTAAAAATGAATTGCTCAAAGAAGTTGTTGGAAAGATGATGAACGAAATCCTGTACCCTGACATGTTTTACTTTTGTAGCAAAGTGCGACTGTTATCTTTCTCTTGTATAATAATTGTTTACCAGGGTTGATTACCACATCATACATGTATTTACATGACAAGAAATTAATCTTTATTCACACATAATCACACTGGAAAGTTATGTCATCCATGTATAGAGTGCTTCTTCAAAGATTCAAGCAATTTATCATATGTTTGAGAGGTATGTTTCTATGCAAATAAAGATATATGATGATGTTGTAAGGAATTTCTGATTTTTGAAGTGTAAGAATATTTCTCGTCTCATAACTATTGTTATCTCCCTTTCTATGTCGTTGCAGGATACAAAATTCCCTCTCATTTTCTTAAAGCTGGTGTCTGTTTTAGAGTCATAGATCATAAGGGTTGATTTCTACCGTTTCAAAAAGGGTCATTTCTTAGAAAAAATTACGTCTACATAAAATGAATGCTTACCGGATTTTCCCCAAGGTTTCAGATAATGGTCAATTTCAATACTTGTTTATGTTTTATCGGGAGACTAAATTATCGACAATCCTATAACATCAGGAAACAAAGACATTACAAGATCGATGATGTGTTGTTGTCAGTAGACAAGTATATGAACCACGGATTCTGGACTTCAAATCAAAGACACGACTTGCTAACAATGCATATCAGTTCATTTCCTAGATCCCCGCTTTTAATACAAGGCATGTTACCACCGGCACCCTTACGATTTAAATTTCCATATTATGAATTTTCCATTTCTCGATAGTAATATCGATAAGACCAGATTCCCCCAACCTTCAATCAATGGTCTGTTCCCATCATTACGAATACCGCGATAAATATAAATTGAGGCAAGGCAAACAACTTTAAGGAGGTACAGACTGATAAACACTATAGGGAAGTTTTACTGAAGATATCATAATCTTGTTGGGAAATATTCTAGTCTGTCGTAATATGAAGCCTCATGTGTTATTTGCTTCAAATACACTCTGGCTCTTATTTCGAGAATGAATTACATGGTAGTTTACATTGCTGAAAAGAAGATGCTTCCATTCCAAGTTACGTGTTCCTTATTCCTGTTCAATTCAAATTTTTTATGTCCTATCTGGTGACTTTCTACACAAACATTTCCTTGATCATGACATTGATAATACAAAAAGTGAGAGAGAAATATATACAAGTTTGTTAAATTTTCAGCAGATAAAACAAACCGTGCCGCTTCCGTCAGCGAATTTGGAGTAATGTGAAGTAGTGTGGTAATTTGGCTGTATGTTAGGTTTTCAGATCTAGCAAACAGACCCAAGTATAAAAGTATATTGTGCTGAAGTTCCTTGGACATCGTCAATAGCCTTTTTGCTATATTTTATAAAGGTATCAATATATCTACAGCTAAAGGACTTGACTTGGTTATGTTAACAATTCTGATCAGCGCGTCGATTATTGCGTTTTCGTATGAAACCAAACGTTTGTTCTCTGAGGTATTTGACAATGATAAGTTTCGAACTTTACCAATTCAAAAACAGCACCAGCGTGTGAACGGAACATAATCCAAGCTCAAATTCAGTAAAACGAGCAAAATATGAACAAAAGATTGATACATTCCTGATGAAGAATATGTCCAGGTGTTCCTGTAGTGTTAGCGTCTTCTTCACCGACAACACCTGCCATGGTCAGTTCAGTTCAGAAATGTCACGTTCAAAAATGAAAACGAGTAATATAACAACGTAACCAACAGGCAAACTATCACGCGCAACTTCATATCGCACAAAAAAAATAGAATTATTCTGAAATATTGCCGGTTATGTATTTTGACGAAATATGCTCACAAGTTCACAATCATGAATTATTTGCATCTTAGAACGGAGCATATATAACAAGAACATGAAGGGATTCTGTCAGTTTTTAATTAGGTTTAAAAGGGGGCCACGTGGAAAATGAAATGCTCCGATAGAAAGAACAATATCGGAAGATTTTCAAGATCAATAAAAACCTCTCTTCTGGTATTGCAAAAGTCGAATCCGATTGATTGTGAAATATACTACCATTATTCTGAATAGTAGTACTAAAAATTAAAATTATAATAAATGGATTGATAAAACAACAAAGAAAATACATACATGTCACCATAATGAAACTAGAGCAATATATAAAAAAAAAGAAAGATATGCAAGGAGAATAAGACCAGGTGTTCCTGAAGTGTAACCATCTTCTGCATCATCGAAGACACCCGCCATAGCAATAAAGATTTTGATTTAAATGTTGCTAAGCAACAAGACAGGAAATGCAAAATGCATTGTTAATATGGATTCTGAAATATGTTCTTTCTGGTTAAGTTAAGTTAATTTGGCTCGGTCTTTATATTTCGTTTTCTGAAAAAAATAGATGATAATGATAAAAATTTGTTGTCAAGCAAGCCTAAATCTGAATGTTTATGTAGGAGGGTTTGAATACAAAAGATAAAATTATTTCATGCCTTTCATGTTCATCGTTAATTTGTATTGACAACGAATTGAAGTAAATACTGACGTGTTTTGTTTCACGTTTGGTTATAAAATAATGAACTCAATCGTGAAAACCAATCAGAACGTAAATATAGCTCGGTATCTTTTCCATTTTAGCATTTTATGGCGTGGTCTTCCGCGTAATCTATAAAAAGTATGGAAATTCGTGATTATTGGAAGAAATATGTTAAGGTTTTTTCCTCATCATAACATTGTACATTTTATAGATCGCCAGTATAAGTCTGACAGTACAATCAACATTGATGCAGTAAGTCATAGGACGAAAACAGACCAGCGGAACAGTTGGTCATGCATATGAAACCAATACATATTAACTTGTACGAAAAAAAACAGAAGCGAATTAATCACTCCATGTCATCCAAGACTTATCTACGCCCACGAATGTGAAGACTTAGTTACCATCTCTATGTTACTGTAGACCTAAATACCCTCTCAATGTTACTGTAGACCTAAATACCCTCTCACTGTTACTGTAGACCTAAATACCCTCTCAATGTTACTGTAGACCTAAATACCCTCTCAATGTTACTGTAGACCTAAATACCCTCTCACTGTTACTGTAGACCTAGTTTTCCTCTCAATGTTACTGAGACCTAAATACCCTTTCAATGTTACTGTAGACCTAAATACCCTCTCACTGTTACTGTAGACCTAAATACCCTCTCACTGTTACTGTAGACCTAAATACCCTCTCACTGTTACTGTAGACCTAAATACCCTCTCACTGTTACTGTAGACCTAGTTTTCCTCTCAATGTTACTGTAGACCTAAATACCCTCTCAATGTTACTGTAGATCTAAATACCCTCTCAATGTTACTGTAGACCTAAGTTGTATTGCACTCTCCACATAACTGTAGACGTTGTTAACCTCCCCACTTCACTCTAGACTTAGTTACCATCACCATGTTACTGCAGGCTTAGTACCCTCTCAATGTTATTGTAGACCTCAATACCCACACAATATTACTATAGATCTGTCTACCCTCTCATTGTTACTGAAGAACTGTCTAACCACTCAATGTTACTGTAGTCGTGTCTACCTTCTCACTGTTACTATAGACCTGTCTTCCCTCTCATTGTTACTATATACCTGTCTACTCACTCAATGTTACTTTAGGCCTGTCTACCCTCTCATTGTTACTGTAGACCTGTTTACCCTCTCATTGTTACTGTAGATCTGTCTACCCTCTCAATGTTACTATAGGTCTGTCTACCCACTCATTGTAACTGTAGACCTGTCTACCCTCTACATGTTACTGCAGACCTGTCTACCCTCTCAATGTTACTCGAGACTTATCTACTCTCTCAATGTTACTGTATACCTGTCTACCCACTCAATGTTACTGTAGACCTTTCTCCCATCCCATTGTTACTGTAGACCTGTCTACCCACTCATTGTAACTGTTGACCTGTCTACCCTCTCAATGTTTAACTATAGACCTGTCTACCCTCTCAATGTTACTGTAGACCTGTCTACCCACTCAATGTTACTGTAGACCTGTCTACCCACTCATTGTTACTGTAGACCTGTCTACCCTCTCATTGTAACTGTTGACCTGTCTACCCTCTCAATGTTTAACTATAGACCTGTCTACCCTCTCAATGTTACTGTAGACCTGTCTACCCTCTCAATGTTACTCGAGACCTGTCTACCCTCTCAATGTTACTCGAGACCTGTCTACCCTCTCAATGTTACTCGAGACCTGTCTACTCTCTAAATGTTACTGTAGACCTGTCTACCCTCTCAATGTTACTGGAGACCTGTCTACCCTCTCATTGTTACTCGAGACCTGTCTAACCTCTCAATGTTAGTGTAGACCTGTCTACTCTCTAAATGATACGTTACAGAAGACCCAGTTATAATATACCTCCTCTATATTAAGGCATACCTAGGTACCCTACATATTTACTTTTAATATAATTACTGTTTCCATGGTGTTTTTGCGGCTTGTTGAAACAGGTATCAGTGCCGCGAATTGTTTTGCCATTGCATTGACCACATTTAAAAATAAAGAAAAAAGGGAAAAGAAATCGTGAGTAGAGGTAAATGTAACTACATGCAGAAAGTCCCCTGACCATGTCCCGCTCTATATATTTGTTAGATACTCTTGCTATCCTTTCATGGTCCTTAAAAAAAGTGATATGGCAGGTGTTTTATCTCATATTCATATTTGTAAAATCGATCGGCATTTGATATATTTTCTAGGACCTGACGGTAAACATACCAAGCTACACTCGGTAATGTGTTTGGTTAATTACGGTGAAAGCTCCCTTCTCTCGGGTTTGTAATTGCCTTGTACGCGTGGCGTCATAAAGCCAACTTTTATGTCAATCATAGTAAAAAACAAAAAATTAGCAATACCGCTGATAAGGGAAGGTCTGAATGTTTAATGTCGCAAACATGTGGTTCGCTTGCAGATTATTCTAGGTACGAGTTTTTTTTCTGTAAAACATATGAATATTAATGTGTGTTGATGGAAGATATCTTCACCATGAACAGTCATGTCCGGAGTCAGACTGTGCTGTTGATTAAATAGGTTTGGGACTATCAGCAGTTTTGCCCTGAAAATACCAAATACTGTCAGCGAGATACTAAAAATATTGCTGAATCGTCAGGGAAAGGTAGAGTGCATAATCAACAGTGACTCTGTTCTAGGAACTTAGCTGATTTGTAGAAATGACGTAACTGTGTCCTATCTGAAGCCTCCTGTCTGTAGGAAGGAGTGGGGACA